TATATATATATATATATATATATATATAAGAAAGAAATATAAAGAAAGAAAAGGAGTAAAATTTCACCAATAACATATTGCTTCAGTCATGCAGGAGAGAGTTCAAGGAACTGGCGGTCAGTTAACGAAGCAATATTCCGGCCAGTTAACGTGGCACTACTGTGGCTTGTAAATGTGTGCGTGGTATCGTGCACGGCGTGGAAGAAAGGGAAAGGAAAGGGTGTAGCTGAGTGGATGAGGAAAGAGAGAGCGAGAGAGAAAGAAAGAATCGATCTGTGCGTCACAAAGAGAGAGAGGCGAACGACGTTGCGGACCACGTTGGCGCGAGCGAGAGAGGAAGAGCACGCGTCACACGAGGCCGAGAGAGAGGAGGATACACGCGGCCAGTTGGAGCAGGCGCTCTTTCGAACTTCGCCTTTTCTTTTTTCCTCTGCTTCTTGCCGACGTTGTACCCTTTTCTCTCTACGCTTTCGTTTGCTCCTCTCTCGTGCATGTACACATATACAGGGTGTTCAAAAAAGTAAACGCGATACTAGACCTAGTATTTGAAAATAACTCAAAGTGAATAAACAGGCAACATTTAGAATAATTCTTGCGTTAAATTGGCATTCTTTAAATTACGATTAGTACTTGAAATTGTGTCACGTTTGAGAAAAAATATCTCGCAGACACGTCGTTGGTGTGACATATAAGTTGTACATGATTGTAGCGTTGAGAAGTAAATGCAATCGATTTCTGTTCGGTATTAGCCGATACATAACGGTTTCGTTTACTTTCTTTTAAACACTCTGTATGTATGTGCACGTGCGCAACCAGACGCTACTCGCGGCTTTTCTGCTTCTGCGTGTCGTTTGCCACGTGATGCTGCTCGTCAAACCGGTGTGTCGCGTCGCGTGGTTCTCTCTCTCTCTCTCTCTCTCTCTCTGGAAGTAATGCACACACACACACACATATACACACACACATGTGTACACGCTCTTGAGACGCTTTTCGATGATCATTATTTTGTCATCGCGCCCGCTGGCTTCTCCTTTCTTCTTGCTCTCGCGCGTACCCAACGAATTGATTAATTCTGGGTAACATACACGACGCTTTTGGGAAATCTTGATGTTTCGGGCGTGTTCTCTTGTACAGGTTACTTTCGGATAAATATATATCACCACAGTGTAACAGTCCTATGAAATAATTGTTATAACTAATTACGTAATGATTCGTACCAGTTACCATAATTTGCACTGTTTTGTGAATTAATCTGCTTGATTCTTGTAGTTGAAAATCTTTATTTATCTTTGAATATCCTGTACGAGATACTTCACTTACTTTATTTGGCATTGGATTAACAAGATGTGTGATGTTTTATATATATATACATATTTATATATATATATATATTTGATATATACATATTTATATATATATAT